GTCTTCTTTGATATAATGAGAGCAACTAAGAACAGAGCAGGGAGGAAGAGCAGGAAGAAAAGATTAACATTAAACAGAGACATGAGGTGGGAGGGAATTGGAATCTCTTTTTTAAGAGCCTTCATCCCATTCACATGAGAGGAGCCCTCATGGTCTAATCACCTCTTAAACACCTCACTTCTTAATACTGTCACATGGACTACTAACTTTCAACATCTGAATTTTAGAACACTCAAACCATGATAGCAGAAATCAGTACTTTGACACAAAATGTGTACAAAAATGAATACTCATCTTCTATACCACCTATGAAAATTAGACATTATAACGGAGAAAGAGCCTATGTACAATAACAATACCAAATTTTAAAAAAAAAATGTTAAGGAATAAATTTTAAAAGGAATACACATGACAGGGATCCCCCCCCCCAGTCGATTCTGACACCGACTACCCAGTTAGCATCACTCCACAAGTTTAAGGGTGCAGTCCTAAAGAATGCCATCCTTTGGATGTTAGTTCTGAGCATGAGGTCCCCAGAGTGCCCACATTCTGTCTATTGTGACTAGAAAGTCAGGAGTTCCCATTCCCCTCCCTCCAGCTTCAAGAATTTGCTAGAATGGCTCATAAAATTTGGAGGATCATTTAATTTTCCTTTTTCAGTCTAATGTAAAGTATTCAACTAGGGAACAACCAAGTGGAAGAGATCATAGGGTACTGGCAAAGAGTGGGGACCGGCGAGAAGTAGGGGCCAGCGAGGAGCTTCCACGCCCTCTCCAGGTGTGCTACCTCCCCAGGTGTGAGCCCAGCACCTTGGTGTGTTCATCAGTGCAAAAGCTCTCTGAATCCTGTTGCCTAGAGATTCTTTATGGAGAGTTCATTACATAGGCAGAGTTGATTAAATAATTGGCTATTGCTGATTAAATGATCTCCAGCCTCTGCACTCTCCCTGGAAGTTGGGGGGTGGGTGGAGCTGAAAGGTCCACGTTTCTAATTAAAGCTTAGTCTTTATTGAGAGCAGACCCAATCCTGAAGCTGTCTAGGGGCCAACTAAGGGCCACTCATTAGAATAAAAGATGTCCCTATCACTCTTATCATTCAGAAAATTCCAAAGCTTCTAGGATCTCTGTGCCAGAGAGAAAAAAATCAAATTTCTCTCTATTATGCCACAGCAGACTATATCAAGAAAATCACAAACCACTACTGAAATGCTGTTGTGGTTGGAACTGGAATATCCCCCTCAGAAGCTCATGTGTTGAAAGCATGCTCCCTAATACAGTAAGATGCAGAGTTGGGGCTTTTAGGCAATGATCAGAACTTGAGGGCTCCAACCTCACCAGTGAGTTAATCCATCAAATGGTGTCTGGACGGATCATGTGTGACATGTGTGATGCCTTATGCTTGAACTGTTAGGTATCAGGTTATAGAGTCCCCTGCAGGCCTCTTCAACCTGAGGGAGCAAATGGATTAATCCATTGACAGCTGAATGAACTACCATATGTGGTGGGACTAGTCGGAGGAAGATCACTGGAGGCGTACCCTGGAAGGATTCATCATCTTCCTGGTCTCTCTCTCTCTCTTTCCCTCTCTCCCCTTTCTGACTGCCATGAGCAGCTTTCTCCCACCATGCCCTTCCACAATAGTATTTCTGCTTTGGAGCAAACCAGCCATGGACCGAACCTCTGAAACTGTGCACCAAAAGAAATCTTTTTCCCTCTAGGTGGTTCTTGCTAGGCATTTAAATCACAGCAAAAACAAAGCGCATAACACAAAGCTGAATAAATAAAAGGTCACATTATGAACCTAGATTGGAAGGTTTCATAGCATAAAGATCTCAACACTTTTGTAATTAATTTAGAAATTTAAATCAATCACAAAGTCTTAAAGATATTGCGTTCAAACAACTAAATGATGTCAAACTTTAGAAAAATACACAAAATGTTAAAAAGGAAGATAATGTCAAAGAAAGACATTCTAGTAACTCTAGAAATTTACTATAGAGATAGTTAAAAGTAATATATTACTGGCAAAATGATTAATGAATAATAAAACCAAGTCTCTATAGAAACTCAATGCATGATGAATATGTGGTCTCAAGCCATTAGTGATGAGATGAATATGTAAGAAATGAATTAGTCCCTGGGGGAATGTATTAATTCCTCATTCCATACACCATATTCTAGATGGGTAAAAATTAACAATTTAGATAAAATTATAAACATGTCACAAGTAAATAGCAAAGGAAGTTTTATAATCTTGCTGGAAGGAAGAACTGTTTAAGCATAAAATGAGAGTGAGGTGTTATAAAAGAAATGATTGATCCATGTTGGGTTAAAGATAGAAAAAAAATGAGGGTGGCTGATGTGCTGGGGGAAATATTTACGCCCAACTTAACATGACAAATGGTTGAATGAGAACAAGATGAGCAACTCGCACAGAAAATGGACAAAGGATGTAAGCAGTCACAAGGAAGAAATGCAAATGGACAATGAGTCTGTGGCTCGACATAGGCTCTATCAGTCATCCAAGAAATGGATATTCAAACAATGTGGCTCCACTTTTTCCCAAGAAATTAGCAAATGATGACGTCCAATAATAATTGATGGGGGCAAAGATGTGATCAATGGACACCCTCATAGACTGCAGGAAGCAATGGAAAGAAGAGCAAGTCTCTGACCTGCAGTCCAAGTGTGTCCATGTGAGTAGGTGAATGTGCAGGTGAGCCGTGAGCATAAGTGTATGTGTGTGTGTGTGTGTGTGTGTGTGTGTGTGTGTGTGTAACTTGGAGATGACAATGGCCATATTCAGATGATGGCACTATGAATGACTTTTATCCCTCTATATTTTCTATGGACTTTTTTTCTTACAATGAACAAGTCTTCTGTGATTAAACACAAAGTAGAATTACTTTTAAAATACATTTAAAATTGCTATCTCATTGCCTGAGAAAAGATAAGAGCAGGTTCTGCATCCCTGATAGCACACAACAGATGAAAGAAAAAGATACCCATGTGTACATGGTTTGGTGTTTAGAGATCTTGAAGTCTCTACCTTAAAAAGAGACAGTTGATAATCTGAATTTTTTCCATATTCCCTTGAAAAATAAATTGATTTGGCAAAACAAACACAGAATCTGGATCTTTGAGTGTCTGCTATTGTGGCCTTGGCATTGAACACCTATACCCTCCCAAGCTGGCCTCACCAAGAAGCAGTTGGGTCGTGTGTGTGTGTGTGTGTGTGTGAGAGAGAGAGAGAGAGAGAGAGAGAGAGAGAGAGAGAGAGAGGCTGTGGGTTTTCAAACCATAGAATCAATATTGTTTCAGGAAGATTTAATCTTCAATGTCTCTACACCTGGGTAGAATCTGTCACCCAAACATGTCACCTGTCACTCGTGGATACTCCCACCTGAAAGCCATTCTTTGTCTCAGTTTATAAAAATAGGAACTGAAAGGGCCAGAGATCATCTGCTCCTCCCCTGATGTCAATCAAGAGGAAACAGGCCTCACAAGGAAAGGGAGCCACCCAACCAATGAGTGGCCAAGTCAGGACTTGGGCCCGAGCCCAGGACTCCTGACCTGTGCTGTTCCTGCTGTCGAGTTCAGTCTCCTGTCAGCATGTCACAAACCCTTATGCCTTGTGCCCTGGCTCTGGGCCTTTGGTGTCACACGACCCTCAGTCTCCTCAGAAGTCTGCCAGTTGTCAAGCTATTTGTACGCTGCCGTGTGGCACAGATTTAAGGGTTAAGGAAGGGAGGAAGGGAAAGACAGGCCTTTGTCAGCAACGAGATGAGAGCTGGAGCCAGTGAGGGCTGAGGGGATTCATAACAGCTGCCCTCACTGAGCCGCCGGCTCTGCTCAGCACTGACATGTAGTATTCATTAGAGCCTCAAAGCGGTCCTGAGAGTCGGAGCTGGTGTCATTATTCCTACATCCAGGATGAGCCAACTCAAGTGTGGCATTCGTTTTCTTTGGTGTTATCATGAGTTCTACACACTGAGTGGCTTAAAACAGCACAAGCGTCTAGTCCACTGATCTTTCTTCCATTTTGATGGAATCCTCCTCGTTTCCCTTTCTCTCTTTCCCCTTCTCTGTCTTCCCCGCTCCCCCTTATTTTGGACCAGCTTCTGCAAGTCAAAGAAAACATTTGACCTTTGGCTTTCTGAGTCTGGCTTATTTCACTTAGCTCCATCCATTTCTCCAGCTCCATCTATTTACCAACAAATGCTATAATTTCACTCTTCTTTATGGCTCAGCAATACTCCACTGTGTATACATACCACGTTTTCTTTATCCATTCATCTGCTGAAGGACACCTTGGTTGATTCCATAGTTTGGCTATTGCGAATTGTGCTTCTGTAAATATTGATGATGCTGATTTTAGATCTTTTGGATATATGCCAAGGAGTGGGATAGCCATCAAAATAGAAGAAAGATCATTGGACTCAACGAAGGGACTGAGGGGGAGAGAAGGGGTGGGATAAGAGCAGAGGAATGAATCTGATCTAACTTTCCCATGTACATTTATGAATACACCACAGTGAATCTCACCATCGTGTCCATCCACAAGACACTATTAAAAAAAAATAAACTAAAAGTAAATAACAGAAAGATCAGTGGAGTAGAGGGAAGACAATGGGGAGGAAGGAGGGAGGGAAGGGAAAGGGGAGATACTGGGGACTGAAGTAGAGCAAATTATATTCCATGCTTTTATACTTACATCAAAATGAATCATAATGTTATGTGTAACTGAAAAGAACCAATAAAAACCAGCACAAATATATTATCTTACAGTTCTGGGGGTCAGAAGTCAGACATGGGTCTCATGAGAGTAAAATCAAGGTGACAGCAGGGCTGTGTCCTTATGCAGGCTGTAGGGGAGAAGCCATTTCTTTGCCTTTCCCAGCTTCTAATGGCCACCTGTATTTTTTGACTCCTGACTGCGTCACTCTGACCTCGGCTTAACTCTGACTCTCTTGCCTCTCTCCTTTAGGGACCCGATGATTACCTCAGGCCTCTCTGGATAACCCAAGATAACCTCCCCATTGCAAGATCCTTTACTTAGTCAGATCTGCCTGCAATATAGGTTCCAGGGATTAGTGGATAGACCTTGTCTTAGTCCATTTTCTATTGCTATAACAAAATACCTGAGACCAGGTCATTTATAAAAAAACAGAAGTTTAATTGGCTCATGGTTCTAGAGTGTGGGAAGTCCAAGAGCAGGGCACTGGCATCTGCTTCATAAGGGCCTTCTTGTTGCACCATCACATGGCAGAGGGGATCACACAGTGAGACAGCAAGTGTGCTAGCTTAACTTTCTCCTCCTCTTTTTGTGAAGCCACTAGTCCCATCATGAGGGCTCCATCCTCAGGAACTCATCTGTCTCTAATTACCTCCCAAAGTGCCCCTGTGCCATATACATGAATTTGGGTATTAAGCTTTCAACACATAAATTCAGGGCTCCACAGTCAAGTCACAGCAGTTCTTTGTGGGGAGAGTCTTACTCTGCCTGCCACAGAGAGAAAGTGAAGTGCCCAAATTCACAAGCCACAAGGCCCCAGAAATTGTGCACACTAGGAAAATAGAAGGACAAAAAGGGGCTTCCCTATCTCACATTCCCCCCAGGAGGTGATGCCTATGCCCAGGGGCAGCCTGACAAGCTGCAAGGCTGCCAGCCACTGTCAATCACCCTTAGAGGCCCTGTGTGGCCTTCTGGACCTCCTAACAGCCCAAGGAAAGCTTTAGAATGCCCAATCCTATTCTTCCATTGCATTATTAGGACATTTTTATTACTATATGGCTCAATTCCTGTCTTTCTCAGTTTTTTTCCCACTAGTCTGTGAGCAGAGACCACATCTGACCATCTCTGTGTTCCCAGGACCCAGCAGAGTAGTGTCAGCTTGTGCCCACTGCCCTGTGGGACCCATCAGAGCCCATACGTCACCCTCAGACATCTTGCAAAAAAACTCTGACCATACCTTCACCAAGAAAGCCCTGGCACCTTGCCCTGGGCCGGGGACACTGTAGGAGTAACTCAGTGAATGAGTGAATGGCCGTCATCCATTGACCCATCACATCACCTCCTGCAATTTCCATCATGGTACTTACCATTACTTGAACTTTTTTATTCTACTTATTGACTCTACGTTTGTCTTTGTCCTTACCAGAATGGCAGCTCCAGAATGGCAGGAATGTTTTCTGCCATGTTCAAAGCTGTGCTTGGCTCTGACAACAAAAATAATAGCAATAAGAGCAACGTATGGAATGCTGCCTGCTGGTGCTATGGATGGATGGAGAGATGAATGAACAAATGAATAGAATGGTGTACCACGGAAGAAGGCCTTTCTAATGAAAACTCCACTGAGATAGCATTTCTTTGCCTTTCCCAGCTTCTAATGGCCACCCGTATTTTTTTTACTCCTTTTGTTAATTAATTATATTTTTAAAATAAAAAAGCCAGTTGGCAAGTCTGTAGAAAACCACTCTCATAGACTTCTGGTAGGTGTTTAGAAAGGCATAGACTCTATGGGGGAAAATTTGGCAATATCTAGCCAAACCGCATAGGCAATTACCTAGCAAATCCATGTCTGAGAATCTAGCATAATGATACACTGGCAAAAGGAACAGACTACATACACACAGGGCATCTACTGCAACATTATTTGTAATAGCAAGATGAAAAACTGAACCAACACAAATGTCCCACCAATGGGGACTGGGGGAATGAGGTATGGCACAACTGTGTAGGAGAGTTCTGGGCAGTTATAAAAATGAATGAGGACCGTAAGGAATTCCATGCCTAAGAATCAAACCAGTAGAACTAAAAGCATAATGCCCGTACCAAGACATATGTGAATGCTCACAACAGTGTTAATCATGATAAAGTGTTGCTCAGAAAATGGAAGCAGTCCAAATGTCCATCAACCAGCGAATGGATAAACAAAATGTGGCATAGTCGTACCACAGAACAGATTTAGCCAATTAAAACTAACAAAGTACTGGTACCTGCTACAACATGAGGGAAGCTCACAAAAGTGTAAGTGAAAAAGCCAGACACAAAACACTATAGGACTATGTGAAATGTTCAGAAAAAGCAAGTTTATAAAGACAAAATGACGGTCCATCTGTAGTCACTGGGGACTGGAGTTGGGAGTGAGGATTGGTAACAAATGGACATGGGGGAACTTTGTTGAGAGTATTGGAGCAATGATATTGAACAACAGCAGAAATTTACTAATATCATTGAACTATGCATTTACAATGGGTAAATTTTATGGTAGTTAAGTTACACCTCAATAAAGCTGTAAAAAAAAACAAAAACCCTGAGGAAACTATAGCTAAATATTCAGCTATGGAGTGATACTTTGGTTTGAGAAAGTTTCGAATGTGTCCCCTCAGGTTTTATGCATTAAAACTTCATCCTCATGGTGAAGTATTAAGAGGATGGAAACTTAATCCAACTATGGCAGTTAAAGGCAGGGCATTTAGGGAGGTAATTAGGGTTAGATCATGTCATTAGGGTGGAGCGCCATGATTAAATACTTTGGGCTTTGTAAGAGGGAGAGAGACCAGACAGACTCTCCTCTCTCTCTCTCTCTCTCTCTCTCTCTCTCTCTCTCTCTCACACACACACACACACACACACACACACACACACACACCACACACACACACACACTGTGTTTCACCGTATGATTCCCTACACCACCTCAGGGCTCTGCCAGCAAGAAGACCATCACCAGATATGGCTCCTTGACTCTGCAACTCCAAAACCACAAACTAAAATAAACCTTTTTCCTTTATAACTCACCCAGCCTGTGGTGTCATGGACAACAGAAAACGGACTAACACAAGTGATCGCCAGGCTACCGTATCCAGTTAAAAAATGAAGAAAAAAGAAGAAGGCAAAGTGCAGAACCATGTATTGTGTGAGAGACCTTTTATGTAATGGAGCCAGTATTTTAAAAAAAAAGAATGGAAATAAGTAGCAAAAATTAAGAAAATATTCATCTATAAGAAGAAGGAAGAATGGGGGAGACAGGGAAGAGAGCAAGCCTCATCTGAATTCTGAAAGCTACGCTTCTCTTGTATTTTAATCTTTGATTTGGGACCATGAAAATGTTTCATATAATTAAAAACATAAAACAAATCAATTCTCCAGTTTCCTAAACTGACAACCAGAAACAAACCATGGACCAAATTTTTATACAACAATAAAAGAATTTCAAGTGGCATTGGGGCCACCATTTTGACTGTGCATGTCCAAAAAAGTAGATGCCAAAAGCTCCCGTACGCAGCCATCAGGAGAGCTGGCCTAGAGCTGGCTGAGTGGAGAGGAGGGAGCTGTGCTGGGAGGGCAGAGAGGGATGCTGGCAGGGTGTCAGGCGGTGGTTATGTCATGGAACCTGTGTGTGGCAGGTACACACCACAGTAAAGGGGCACTGTGCAGGAATTCATTGCCAATGGTTCAGAAAAAGAAAGCTCTTTGAGATATTCTTGTTGTTTTTCTCTGTAAGTTTGAAATTACTTAAAAGTAGAAAGAGAAGATACTGAGAAAATGAAAAAAAACCCACCAACTTATTTTTCTGAAAATTATAAAATAAAAATAAAGGATCAGATACTCTATTTGGTCCTTGATATAGTTGGTATCTTGAATGTCCCTGAAAGGCCAATGTAGTAAAGATTTGATGCCCAGGCTCCCACCATCTTCCAATATCACCACCCTCTTCTTCTCTTTCACTTCCTGGCTACTAGTGAGTGGTTTTGCTCCACCATGTGCTCCTGCCACCATATGCTGCCTCACCACAGGCCTAAAGCAATGAGGTCAACCAATCACGAGCTGAACTCCTAAGACCATGAACCAAAGTAAACCTTTTCTTTTTATAAGTTAATTATTTCAGATACTTTGTTATAGTGACAGAAAATGACTTATTTATGATTCCAGGTTAACAAAATAATTGTTCAGTTTTTCCTTATAGAATATTCCAGGTAATGAAGAGAGAAGCAGATAGTTGAAAGAGAAAAAAAGCAAACTGCCACTTAACAATTCCTAATGGAAACAAATTTATGCTCATCAATGAATACTAGAACTTTCAGAAGGATTTTTGAAGACCTTTAAAGTTAACGGTTCTATTTGATGATATTTGAATTCAGGAATTAATATTTTTAAAATTTATTTATTTATTAGTTCTGATCAGTTATACATGACAGTAGAAAGCTCTTTGATTCATTGTACACAATGAATGGAACAGAATTTTCCACGTCTCTGGTTGTGCATGAAGTAAAGTCACACCATTTGTGCACTCGTACGTGTACCTAAGGTAATGATGTCCATCTCATTCCACCATCTTTTCTACTCCATTGCCCCTTCCCCTTTGCCCCATTCAAAGTTCTTCCACTTATCTCAGGAACCAATCTTAACATTAAAAGAAGGGCAGCCAGTGGTGCATGCCTGTAATCCCAGAGGCTCAGGATGCTGAGACAGCAGGATTGAGAGTTCAAAATCAGCTTCGGCAACTTAGCAAGGCCCTAAGCAACTTAGAAGACCCTGTCTTTAAAGACCCTGTCTTTGTATCTATAAAATATACAAAGGGCTGGGGACGTGGCACAGTGGTTAAGTTCCCCTGGGTTCAATACCCAGTACCAAAAAAAAAAAAAAAAATCAGGGCAACAAGACATTATGGAAATGTAATAAAAAATACTCTGCCCCATCTATGACTTATTCTTGCCAAAATAAAAAGTAAACCTGAATTTAATCAAGTTCCTAGAACCATCCCCCCCCCAGGCTGGGGGGTGGTGTACACACAATGAACACTTGGCAATGTTTAGAATCACTTTGGTTGTCATGGTTTGCAGAGGGAAATGTGCTACTGACATACAGTAGAGACCAGGAGTGCTGCTAAACCCACTGTGCACAAGACAGCCCCTCACCCAGCAAAGGATTATCTGATCCAAAATATCAACTTTTTGCCGTGTTGGGAGACCTTCTCTATATGGACCCCGAAACACTTGTTGAAGGACACCAGGAGGGTGGAGAATGACACCAGGTGGGTGTCATCAACCAAATCCAGAACACTTGAAATTTTATAGCATCAATGATTTACTTTTATCAGCATATAATGGAATGAAAACAGAAAGAGCAGGGAACACTGAAATTGATTTTTAGAGGCATAGAAAATAAATGCAATGTAGGAACATAATTTGAATCCTGATTTCAACAGAATTACTGTAAAAAAATTCAAGACATTAAGAGATATTTGGACACATGCTGACTATTATTAGATGATATTAAGTACACGTTGTTAATTGTGTTTGATGTGATATTAGTACTGAGCTTAAGAATTAGAGATGCATATTGATTATTTACAGGTGAATGATATGAAGCTGGGGATTTGCTTTAAAAACATCACTTTTCAAAATGCAAGTCATAGACCCCTGAGGGATCCCTAAAATTCTTTTCAGGGATCTGCAGAGAGTCAAAACCATTTTTATAACAATATTAAGAAATTCTTTACCTTTTTGAGCACTTTGACACTGCACTGATGGTGCAAAAGCAATGGTAAGTAAAACTGCAGAAATCAATGCAGTTGTGTGGAGCGGTCCTGGTGATCATTGTATTCTACAAAGCCACCCAGACAGAGTAAAAAGAATGCCATCCATTTCCCTCCAAATTCTATGATTTTGTCATTTCTTAATGCAGAGTAATACTCCATTGTGTATAAATGCCACATTTTTTTTATCCATTCAAAAAAAATCTAAATGGCCAATTTCACTTCAGAATGTACTGCATGAAACAATAGAAATTATACATTTTGTTAGACCTTGACCTTCTCAAGTACATCGGTTTAATGTTTCATGAGATGAAATGGAAGCCCACATCAAGCTCCCTGCCAAAGGATGCTCGCCATCTCCAGGAAAAGCACTTGGAAAACTCTGAGTTTCAAGCTGAACCAGCTGCTTTTTCCATGGATCACAATGTTTATCTGAAAAACAGATAAGTTACAGTCAGTTCAAATGGGTATTTGGCACACACTTTGTCAAAAATCAGCAGTTGAAAATTGGTGCAACCACTCTGAAAAGCAGTATTGAGATTCCTAGGGAAAAAAACCTGAAGAGAAATCACCATTTGACCCAGTTATCCCACTCCTGCATATATGCCCAAAGGACTTAAAATTAGCATGCTATAGTGACATGATCACATCAATGTTTATAGCAGCTCAATTCACAATAGTTAAGCTATTGAACTAACCTATGTGCCCTTCAACAGATGAATGGATAAAGAAAATGTAGTATATATACACAATAGAATATTAGTCATAAAGAAGAATGAAATTAGGGCATTTGCTGGTAAATGGATGGTGCTGGAGAATATTATGCCAAATGATATAAACCAGTCCCAAAAAAACAAAGGCCAAATGCTCTCTCTGATAAGCAGATCCTAACACACAATAAGGTGGATGGAGGATGAAGTTCACTGAATTAGACAAAGGGAAATGAAGGGAAGGGAAGGGAATGGGAATATGAAAGATAGTAGAATGATTCAGACATAATTTTCCTAAGTTCATATATGAATACATGACAGCGAAACTCCACATCATGTTCAACCACAGGATCCTCATTAGAATAAAGTATACCCCATGTATGTATAATATGTCAAAATACACTCTACTGTCATGTATATCCACAAAGAACAAAAAAAACAAATCAGCAGTTGAATGTCATTGTAAGCAAAAACAGTGAACAAAGTGTGTGCCAGTCATGAAATTTGAACTTTCAAATGAAAATTAGAATTCGAGAAAATGTGTACCTTCCAGCTTGCCACAACATAAAGATGTTCTTATGGGCTGGGGATGTGGCTCAAGTGGTAGCGAGCTCGCCTGGTGTGCACACAGCCCGGGTTCGATCCTCAGCACCACATACAAACAAAGATGTTGTGTCCACCGAAAGAAACTAAAAAATAAATATTAAAATATTCTCTTTCTCTCCCTCTCTCTAAAAAAAAAAAAGATGTTCTGATGAACTTGATAATCTTAACAAATATATCTGTTTTTCGATTGTATCATGAAATACCTCAGCATTTGGAAGAGCTGTACACCTTAGTCAACCTGTGGCTTTCCACATGACAATATATGATGACACATGGGTAAAAGCTCCACTCCAAGTCTAGGAGAGAACATTGGATTTTAATGTGAACAGTATAAAAAGTTCCTCAATGTAATTTTAGATCCCACATTGCAATTGTTGCCAAAAGAGGCAGGTTTTACCTGCTCCCGAGTTTAGAGATCACTGAACAACAAGCTTTGCAAAAACAGAAGAATTTATTCAAAAGGTGCCAATCATGAGCAGTCAGGAGGCCCAAGTCTCAAAACTGTCTCCCCTGGGATGAGGTTTAGGAGTCTCTTTTTTTGTAGCAAAAGAAACAGGGGTGTGTGAAAGGCAATTGGAGATTAGGATAAATTAATTAGTTGGTAGTCTGCCTGGGCATAATCAAGCTTTATGGTGCTTTATAGGATACATGTTCAGAAAATGGTTATTATGATCTTGGGTGGAATTTTGGCCCCGTGGTGTCAAGAGATTACCCAGAAGATGTTTGTACAGGCCCAAGTGAAGGGTCTGTGGTTCCAAAAAGTTTAAGCTAGTGAGGTTACCTCCAAATTCCTGAAAAGCAATTGCTTCCACAGTAACCATAAGTCAAAGGTTACTCTAGATGTAAAGCTGGTTGGGTTCTATTACTTTACTGTTTAGCTACAGGAGCAAACTCCTTTAGCTAAAATCAATGACAAAAACAGATAACTAGAAGCAAATGATGCTAGAGGGTTTTCTCAGATTTCCCTCAGTTTCACAGTAATTATGCACGAGTAATTATTTACCTGTAATTATGCATCAAATTTCAGTGCAGTAACAAAGAATATCCACAAATATTGGAAAAGACAATTAAAATTGCCTTCATTTTCCAACTCCTTTTCTGTGTGAGGCCAGTTTTCTTTATGTATGTCAAACAACAAATTATAACTAATTGAATGCAGAAGCAGACATCCAGCTGTCTTCAATTAAACTAGACATTGAAGAGATTGCAATAGCATAAAACAAGGCCACTCTTTTTGCTAATTTTTGTTTGGTTTTGTAAAATATATTTTTTGTTTAATTGTGCCATTCGTATGAACGTGTAATGGGTGTGCTGGTATTACTTTTGAATGTGATATAGTAAGAACTATTTTTAAAGCTTTTCAGTTTT